GGGTCTCACTATGTTGCCCAGGTTGGTCTCGAACTCCTGGCCTCAAGCAATCCTCCCATCTCAGCCTCCCAAAGTGCTACAGGTTTGAGCCACCACATCTGGCAGAAAAAATCCAGAAAATCAAGGTGCTAAAAGTGGTTCTCTATGGAGAACAGGATGGAGGATTTTAATATTTTATTTAATTCTATTTAAAATAAAACCAATGCAGACATTGATGAAAAAGGAAGACAATCAAGGAGAGATGCAACCTCAGTGGGAGATGAGTCAATCATACGTACTATTATCTCTTAGGTGAATTCATAATTTCCTTGTAGCATTTATTTAAAGCCAGACATGAACTCTGTGATCTCAAACCAAAGCAGCCCTATTCTACTTGGTGTGGTTTTCCAATTGATATTTGGTAAAACAGTGAGTAAGGGAATGTGTGTGTGTTTGTTCAGTTGTTGGTTTATTTGTTTGAGGCAAATGATGACGTGAATAAGGTGGAGGCAGAAATCTGGCCTGATCAAAATGAATTCCTGCTCAAAACTTTTCAGGGCCTCTGATTGAGATGTGAAAGACTAATATCCAAATACAGCTTCTATAGGGAGATAACAACAGAAGAAAGGGAGTAACAAAGACCCCAATTCTTACCTTGCTTCTGCCACTTACTGGCTATCTGATATTGAGCATTAACTTCTGTGACCTTCAGGTCTCTCATCAAAGGAGCCTAACAAGTCTCCTTCACCCTACAGTGCTATTGTGAGAATTTGGGGAAAAACTGTAAAGCATTCAGCTCAGCACCTCCAGGCCCTTCACATCTAGCGTAGGTAGTTAATAAATGGTACCCAAAATGTGATTACATAAACAGGAAAGAAAAGCAGAAGAAACTATTTCAGTACATCTCGATTAATAGGAATGTTCAAGGAATCCATCCAGTTGACTGACTTATCTAAATAAAAGAACATTGCCAAAGGAGACAACAAAAGCTATATACATTGTCAGTGGGGAAAGATACAACCCAGAGCCTCAAAAACTTGCACACAACCACACAGAGCTGATTCTCAGAGGCTGTAAAAAGAGGACTTGGTGATAAAGACCACTCAGGCTCCAAATCTGACCTGTTATTGATTTAGGATTTACCTTCTACCTACTTCTCAAAAAGACCAGAGGCAGATTATAGTAAGAGTCACATACTCAGTAGACTCATTTAAATAATAATATAAGAATCAGAGAAGTGTAATGAGGCTGAGGTAGTAACTGTAACTGAAAATAAAACTTCTGGGCATCCAGCGTTAAGGCAAAAAAGTAAATCTGCAGACTATCATTAGGCAGAGGAAGAATCATGATCAATCAGGAAAGGCAACTTTTCCTAGACCTAAACTCGAAATTTTATAATCAGAAACTGATCCTAGGAATGTATGCTTCTTATTCCCCTTACCCCCAAAACGAGCTTTGGTGTATTAGTTTCCTCCTCACAGCTTTGTCAATTACCAGCTGTGTGACCCTAAGCCAATGCCTCACTTCTCTGAATCTCAGTTTTCTCATCCATAAAAGGGAATGATGCTCCTACCTATTTGTGAAAGGGAATGAAGGAAATAGTAACACTTGCTAGCATTAATTGGATGCTTACTAAGCATCAAAAGCTTCATGTACATTATCTCACTGAAATCTCCCAATATAAGGCAAGTCTTGTAAATTATTAATATCATTTCACAGATGCACTATGGAGATTTGGAGAGGCACAGACAATTGCCATTGTCACACAAGCTAAAGAGCAGAAGAGCTGGAACTCAATTTCATGCTTAAGTGACACCCAGGCAAAACCAAACCATTATACTTTTCCACTTTCCCTATGTATCTCAGGCACCTAACCGTTCCCGGTACAGAGCAGGTGGCTCAACATATTAGTTTCCTTGTTCACTCATTCCTTTTCTCCTAGAATTATATATAGAAAGTTAAAAGTTCACTGAAATAATATTAGTATCTTATAATTATATATTAAAGGGTTTCTTTACGGAAATCATACTATTTAATCTATTTTCTCTGTTTATCTCACCAAATCTCTGCCTATCATTATGCACTATTTCACCTATTTTACAAATCAGGAACTAGAAGGCAGCAAGCAGCCAGGGCGATGTGCCCAAAGTCATATGGAAGTCACTGCCAAAACCAAATAAAAACCTCGGCCTTCTTACTTCTAAATCAACCTTTATCCTCTCACATGACACAGCCTTCATAATAAAGAACAGATCATTCATTTTTTATCTGGAAAACTACCAAACATATAATTCAGAAAGGGGCCTCACTGACCCTACCACCTTGTCAAAGGGAAGAAAGTATATAAAAAATGAGGTTTGCAGGAGCAGACGGTTTTGGTCCATCAACTTTTTCTTAGATTACACCCATTAACCAAGCTAAAATAATGTAAAAATAATGTAACAGATCCCCATGTCTTTGGAAATTCAAGTTAAATTCACTGATCCTTCAAACTTACACACATTGCACTAAAGGTGATTGTTAACCCCTCTGGGGCTACAGCAGTGTTTATTGTGTCAACCAGATCTTTTAAAAAAAATATGTTACAAAATTGGTCCAAACTAAGAATCCAAATCAGCAATGAGCATTTAGCAGCACAAATTCATACACCCACAGAATTCTGGAGCTTCAGAAGGGACCTGGCAGGACTCTTCATCTGGTATATGAGGAAACCAAGACTCAGGGAGGTTAAGTGGCTTGTCCAAGGTTTCACAGATAAGAGAGCAAGAACTAGAAAATAAACCTGCTGACTACTATCTATTATACTTATAAATCTTGCTTTCAATGTTCATGAGTACCCTTAGCACTTTCCAGAATTACTTATCTACACAGAGAGTACAGAAGAAAAGTAACAGAAAAACTCTTAGAATACAAATCCTGACTGCCACTCACTGGCCATGAGATCTTGGCCAAGTCATTGTGCTCCTGGTATTATTAAGAATTTATCTTGAGGCCAGGTACAGTGACTCACGCTTGTAATCCTAACACTTTGGGAAGCTGTGGTGGTAGGATTGCTTGAGGCCAGGAGCTCAAGACCTGCCTGAGCAAGAGTGAAAATAGAAAAATTAGCTGGGCATGGTGGCACTCGCCTGTAGTCCCAGCTACTGAAATTCTCTGATATTCAAGTTTTTCATCTATAAACTGAGGTTCACAGTAAGTTTCATAAGTAAGATGGAGGCAATATGAACAAGAGGCCTGCACATAGCCTGTAAGCTCCATGAAGGCCAACATCAGGTCTGTACATTCCCAGCACAGAGCCTGACACATATACATTCTCAGAAAATTCACTGAGCAAAAAATCAATGAACTTACCAAGCAAACAGCTACCGGCCTTGAACTCAGTCTATCTGGTTCTTAAACATTAGTTTATATTGCTCCCAATTCATAAGATTCCGAAATGCACTGTTAATGCAGCCTTACAGAGTACTGAGAACACAATGGAGTAAGACGGCCACTTTCCCTTCTAGTTATCTGGAAGTTTCATTCACTCATTTCACTTAGGTCTTTGCGTAAGTGTCACTTCCTTCCAGATGCTCCGTATCTATAATAAAGCCCCCAAATCTCTCTTTCCCCTATCTTGCTTATTTTTCTTCATTGTCCTTATCATCACTTGATGCTACATTATTTATTTATTTTTCTATTTACTGTACTTACCTAACTATCAGATAAGTCCCAGGGACAGGGACTTTTTATTTGTTGTTCATTTTGTTTACTGCTATATCCCAACAATTAAGAAAGTACCTGGCATGTAGTTAGTGCTTATAAATATTTGTTGAAAGACTGATCAAAGTAATTCAACACTTCTTTGGGCCTTGCTATATGTGAGGCACTGTGTAGCAATCTGAGAAGATTTACATCTCACCTGGACTGCTACGGTTGCCTCCTAACTGTTCTCTTTGTGTCCACTTTGTCCCCCTATATTCTATTTGTTAATCAGCAGCCAGAGAGGTCCTCACAAAGTCAACATCGGATCAGGTCATTCCCCTGCTTAAATCCCTCCAGTGACTTCCCATTACAATTAGAATGAAGCTCAGACTCCTTACTAGGCCCCAGAAAGCCTCAACCATCAGCCTCTGGGGTAGTCCAACCTCCTCTCCTACTACTCTCTCCCTGTGTTTCTGACACATTGGTTTTTCTCTTTCTCAAACATGCCAAGGTCTTTTCTTTTTTTTTTAATTTAAAAATGAACATATATTTTTATTCATTTAAAATTTTAAGTTCTAGAGCTAGGTGTGGTGGCTCATGTCTGTAGTCCCACCTACTTGGGAGGCTGAGGCAGGAAAATCCCTTCAGCTCTGGAGTTTGAAGCTGCAGTGAGCTATGATTGAGCCACTAAACTCCAGCCTGCGTGATAGAGCAAGACCCCATCTCTTAAAAAAAAAAAAAATACTTTAAGTTCTATATAGTTAATTAACAATATTCTGTCATGTCTAAAATTCCTCAATAGCAAGGAAGATAGCTGTTCAAGGAATATGAGTTAGAGATTACAAATGTCAAGGTCTTTTCTGACTTGGAGCCTTTGTGCTTGCTATTCCCTCTGCCTGAAATGCCCCTAGTCTGGCTCTTCCTCATCATTAGCTCTCAGCAAAAATGTTACCTCCTTAGAGTCCTCCCGGCTAAAGCTGACCCTGCCACCATCACCCTCATCAAGTCAGTTTCTTTTGGATCCCTTTGCCTTTTATTTCCTCACAGTATTTCATTATCTGGAATGACTTTATTTAATTTGTTCAGTTTTCCCAACCAAATGTAAACTACAAGAGGGCAAGGAATTTCTCAAAGTTACTGCTGCATACCCCACATGTAGTATATAATAGGCGCTCAGTAAGTATTTCTGATTCAATAAACTGGATCTCGAAAGATGTTTATCAGGATGAAAGGTACAGATAAGGTACACCATCACCCTAACAGTATAGTAGGGTGTTGGTTTCCATCCAAGGACAACCACCCCATTTTATTGAAATGTGAATTTCAGCCAAACTTACTTGGGAATGGGTACCCGAATTAAAGTCCCTTCCACTTCTGGGTTCAGATTCATTCCACTTTCTCTTATAGCCTTGATAGCTGCAGCTGTACACTGAAAACCAGATCAAAAGGTAAACAGAATTAGTAAATAATTATTACCAGATGCAAGCCCTCTGTCGATAACTGGCAACCCATCTTGGCAGAACATGGAAACATTTAGTTCTGTTACCAGTAAGATCAGGAAGTTACATTGGTGTAGAGTGCTTTGATCAAGCTGAATAGCAAACTATGTCCACTCCTGGTACCAGTGTATTGCAGGAGGAAAAAAAGAAAGAGAAGAAAAACTAAAAAGAAAACAGCTCTGCTTCTTTGAAAAGATTTCAATGGTTTGAGGCAACACAGATCAAAACCACAATAAATCCTCAAGGGAGGGGGGCTGGTCTCTGCAAAGATTGGTGTAAAGACAGATGAAAGATTTCATATGTTAAAAAATTCCAGTTGACATTTTACACTCAAAATATACCAGTGCCGATTTGGAATGAGTAAATAAATTTAACTCATTCACATCTACACTCCCACCAAACTCACGCATGTTTTGGAATGAGCAATGAACCTCTGCTAGTGTATGTTCCAGGAAAGGGAGTATGGTATAGTAGTTAAAAGCATGGGCTATGAAGTCAGAAAGACCTCAGTTCAAATCCCAGCTCTGATGACCACGTCACCCTGGGCAATATGCTTCACCCCTCTGAGCCTCCATTTCAAAACCTGAGACCACATGGTACCCAGACCTCACAGAGGTAGTGAATTAACATAAGCAATGCATCTCCTCTGTGCCTAGCACACTGAAATACCCAGTAGAGAACAGTTAGTGTGTAAACATAGTATATACATTTATTATATAAAGGTAAAAATACATAAAACCCTCAAACAAGGTAGAGTTGATGTCATCATTTAGCTGAAGTACTGCTTTCCTGCCCAACATCCTTCAGGGGCTTCTCTGACAGGTTTGCTCACTAATATGCCAGTTGACGTACTGGTATACTGATTTCCCAAAGTGCCTCACCTCATACTCAAGCAACATTGTAACAACACCTGGTATGCAATCCCAAAGCATAGCAAGAAAGCAGCGTGGAAGACAGATACTTTTATTGGCATAACAATGTGGAATTCATGAAAACAAAGACTCTGACATTTTCAAAAGAATTTTTAGGTTTGACTGAGCCAATCCACGTGACAGGCTAATTCTTGGCCTTGAGTTCCTCCCTAGACTTCCTGATTTAAATGAATGGTGGTTGATACACACCTATTTTACTTTTCCCCAGTGGTGGGATGGAAGGATTGCCTGAGGCCAGGAGTTCAAGACCAGCCTGGGGCAACATAGCAAGATTCACCTCTACAAAAAATAGAAAAATTAGCCAGGTATGGTGGCACATGCCTGGAGCCCTAGCTACTCAGGAGGCTGAGTTGGGAGGATTGTTTGAGCCCAGGAGTTCAAGGCCGCAGTGAGCTATGATCATGCCTGTGAATAGCCACTGTACTCCAGTCTGAGTGGGACCTTCTCTCTAAAAAAATGTTTTTTAAATGACTTTAATTCTACATCTATATGAGGTATTACTGTAAGGTTAAAAAGACAAACCAGAACTTCCACATACAGACGAATAATCAATACTCTTGGGAGGCTGTACACAGAATCTAACCGTGAGGCCACTGCTGAACACATTGACTGCCACACAAAAAAAATCAGAAATTTTTCCTTGGGGTCACAGTGTTTTTTTTTGAAAATAAAAACTTCAAGTGTAATTTAAAGGTAAACATAGACAGAAAACTGAACTTTATTGACTTCTACTCATTTAATACCACGTTTTTGGAATTGTCAGTATTAACTGTAACAATAAGAACATCAACAGATAAGATTTTACGTATGCTTCATGTGGCCCTGGGGTCAAAACTAGAGTGAGTTAAATACAACTCTCATGGAAGTTACTGTGTTAAAATAGTAAATTCTTAAAATGGTACCTCTGACCACAGATTATCAGAGCTGGGAAGGATCTGTGACCCACGCACAGCTCCTTCATTATGTAAATAGGGACTTGTAGGATAAGGTCACATCCCTAAGCATAGACATGCTCTTCCCTGGCAGTCCAAGAGAGATGGTGTGAGTACCCCAACCATCATACTTCCAGTTACTGGTAGAGTTAAGAGAAGGCTGAATGGAGATTCAGTCCCATGATGTTACTTTGTCTATATTTTTTCCAGATCCCTGACCTCAATAAATTCAGTAATTGTGACATAGGGGATTTGATTTTTTTTAAATAGCCAAAAATAATTTGGAATTAGGTCTGGTGTATAAAGGGTATGGCCAAGGTAAATAAAAGAGCTGGATAAAGAAATGAAATTGATTTTCCTTTGCAAAAGAACTGCCACCTTACTTAATAAAACACAGATTTCTAAAGTTAACAATGAAAGAAGAATCTCCACTTTGAAGGCATCGTCTCATCTCAAATCTCCTAATCCTCTTCCACAGTTTCTCACTGACTGATAATCACTACTGAACACCCCATCACCACCACCTCCCTTTCACAGTCTGGCACAAGTACTTCCACACAACCTCCTCCTGGAGGCACAAGAGCACCACTACTGACACCGAGTTGGGAAGGAGCTACATCTCAGTATTGACATCTTCCCAGTACAAGGCAGAGTGCCAGGTACATAGCAAGTGCTCAGTAAAAGCTTGCTGAAAGAATATATCAATGATCAGGTTCAGATCTATTAGAAAAACTCATCTCCTTTACCTCACATATATAACCCCTCAAAATCTTATTTTAACTTTTCTGTCTTTTCATATGCAGAAAGAATGTGAATCAATCAATGTTTCACTTCTCAAAGAAACCTACTGAGAGAGGTAGTTCTAAGATAACCTAGAAGTGTATATTTTGCTTTGACATGGTAGAACACAGAACCTCAAGGAATTAGTCATCTTCCCAATATGACATTTGAACTACTCATGGTTCAGACAAAAAGGGCACACGTTCCTACAGAATTTCCATCTCTTACCTTAGGCTTTAACCCCTCACGGAAGGGATGTTCAACAATATCCCAGGGCAAACAGATTGCTCTCAAATGACAACACTGAACAACTGGTTGTGGATGTTCAGAGTAGTGTGCTGAGACCCCATCTCGGGTGAGGCAGGAAAGAGTGTTGTGATCAATTAGCAATATCTGCCATTCCTATTCTTAAGCTAACCTATGCTAAAAAAAAGAAAAAAGATAAAACTTTTGTACACAGGTGAACAAATCCTTGAATTTGGATTCAAGTTAACTCTGTTAGTGCCATATCAATTACTGATCTTCCATTTTCTTTGTATCTCAACAAATCCCTAGAATGTAAGGTGTCCAGAAACAGAAATCTAGTCTATCTTAATCATCGAGGAATTCCCAGCACCTCAAATAGAAACTAATAATTTGCAGGGGCTCAAACAATGTGTTGAGTTAATGAATGAATGGTTAAAGGAACATGGGTTTTCATGTCAAAGAGAGCCAAGATTTGAACATAGCTCTATCACAACAGTGTGAACCTTGGGGAGATATTATACTTCCCTGAGCCTCAGTTTTCTCATCTATAAAATGGAATAAATAATGCCTAATTTTACAGAGTACCTGTGTTGATCATATGAAACAAAACATGAGAAAGTGACTGGCAACACTGTAGACACTCAATATATGTCAGCTCTCCTCCCTCCACAAGAGCAATAATGGAGCCTGCAGAGTTTTGTTTTTTTTCATTTGCCTCGTTTTGTTCAAATCATGCTGTGGTTTTTATTCCCTTCTTTTCTTTCCTATCATTAACTCTAGCTGCAGGCAAGTTTATGGAAGGCAGCAACCGTGTGTATCATCTATCAAGCAGGACACATGTTAAACAAATGCAACACAGTTTTCTGTCTTCAATGCATTTGAAAAGATTATGCATGTAAATCTGCATTGTGTCACTATGGCATGACACAGAAAGGGCTCAGATTTGGAAAGAAAGTCAACCGCATGTGAAACAGAAAGGAATTACATAAACACAGAGAAGCTTAGCATTTTGAAGCTATGAACCTGGGTATTCTATAGACAGCTTCTAAGCGGGAGGAAGGAAATATTTAGTTAGAGCTATTTGTTTAATATATACACCCAGTGAGATAAAGGAATTCAAAAGACAATGTAACTCACACTTCCTCACTCTGTCCCTGTAAATAAATGAACCTCTACTGAGATGCTTGTAAAGAATTTTTCAAGACTCATGAAATTTCAACTTGGAGAAATGGCAAAGATGCTTTGGTTGAAAAATGAAGATATACTCTAACATCCTAAGAAAAAATTAAGCTGTTAATACATCCTCCTGCCTCATAAGATGCTCTGGTAGCCAATCAGGTGCTTCTTCTGTGAATGCCATTTGCTATTTAATAACAGAAGTGCTGGCTCTAAAAAGCAATCTGCCTGATGAGGTCTTCAAGCTGTGTAATTAGGAGGCTATTCCCTAAATTGGCCTGCAGTGCCTCGATGAACAAGGCGGAGAGGCCGCAGTGGTTCAGAGAGGGCCCATGAAGAGAAAGAGGTGACAGTTTCCTTTTCATCCATTTCTCTGCTCCTCAGTAACATGGAATGAGTGTCTCCCTTTTATCAAGCTAATGACAAATATTTACCCATTCAAGAAAAATTTACTGAGTTGCTTCCATGTGCCAGGCACTGTGTTTGGTGCTGGATACAATGAACAAGTGAAACATGACCCCTACATTCCAAGCTTACAATCTAGTAAAAGAGAAATTGAAAATAAACATAAAAATAAATGTATAAATATTAATAATAATAAGTATAATAAAGAAAAAGAATCTTGCTGTATAAGAGAGCTTAGTGTGGAGAAATTAGATAGAAGAGATTAGGGAAGGCTTCCCTGAGAAAGCGACGTTTAAGCTGTGATCCAAAATACAAGTAGCAAATAGCCATGCAAGAGTGTTCTGAGCAACTGGAACAACAAACATGGAGGCCCTGAAGATGCAAAGGGCTTGGTGTGTCTGAGGAACTGAACGGCCAGCGTAGTTAGAGCCGTGTACAAGGATGACAGCGGCACAAGACTGGAAAGACCTGAGATCATGCAGAGCCTTGTAGGCCACAGTAAGGATTTTAGATTACTTGAAGCCACTGATAAATCTAAAGTAGATCATTATATGAGCCGATATATATTTTTAAAAACTGGCTGCAGTAGGGAGAGTGGACAGAGCTCTCTAATTTGAAAGAGTTTGTTCAAAGCAAGGGCTTCCCTTTCTCCTATCTCTAGCCTCGTTTGTCAAATCCAGCAGGTCCAAATTTGGTTTATGTTTCTGGAATAGAACCACTCAGAACAATCAGAACAGGAAGATTCCTTCACCTCATGTTAGCAGATGAGGAAACAGAAGCCCAGAGAAGCAACTTGCTCAAGGTCACACAGCTAATGGGCTGTAGAGACGGGACCATTCCAGGTCCTCCAGGATTCCCATCCAGGCCAATTCCTACTGGACCAATAAGGAAAAGCCCCATTATTTTATCTTCCTCAACGAGACTTACAATCATAAAGCCTCAAGGTTGCAACGACCTAATGCAACCTACCTTCCAGTCTTGAAAGCACTGTGCTCCATGCAATACTCTACAATGGCCAGTCTAGTTTAAAAGGAATTCTTGGGGGGGGGGGTCTGCTCCAAATACTAATACAGAGGTCACAAATTGGTAACCCTCGAGCCATATCTGGCCCATTAATATGTTTTATTTGTCTCGCAGTCTTAAAAAAAAGTGAATTAGTCATCAACATTTAAAGAACAAGACCTCACATAAAAATATGGGTCACTAGCTTCTTCTGGAAATAAAAATTGTAACAGCAGGTAACGCTGATTACCAGGCTCACATTTATGTCTGGCAATGATCAGCAGGAGCTGGGCAGAGGCACCTTCCTCAGAGAGGGTACAGGCTCTCCAGTTTACCAGAGCTCTCCTACGTTGGCCAAGCACAAATCACTGCATCTCCATCATTGTTTACTTAGACGGGGCCTGTTTCGGTATTCAAATTACTTGCCTAGCTTCTCTAGTATCTGAGTTTAACAGAATAAGAATTTAGAAACACAAAGAAAGGCCCGGCATGGTGGCTCACGCCTGTAATCCTAGCACTCTGGGAGGCCGAGGCGGGCAGATCGTTCTGAGCTCAGGAGTTCCAGACCAGCCTGAGCAAGAGCGAGACCCCGTCTCTACCAAAAAAATGGAAAGAAATTAATTGGACAGCTAAAAAAATATATGTAGAAAAAATTAGCCGGGCATGGTGGCACATGCCTGTGGTCCCAGCTACTCGGGAGGCTGAGACAATAGGATTGCTTGAGCCCAGGAGTTTGAGGTTGCTGTGAGCTAGGCTGATGCCACAGCACTCGCCCCAGGCAAGAGAGTGAGACTCTGTCTCAAAAAAAAAGAAACACAAAGAAAGTTTTTCCTCATCCTTAAGTTCCCTTTATTATGTCTTCTCTCTCGTTTCATTCCAAGCTGAAGGAAACACTTCCACCTGATCTGACCCAGCCTCCACCATTCCAAAAGAGACCATAGAAAGGAATTTTAGCAAGGCCACCTTACCTCTGGGAAGCTGGCCATATTCACCAAAATCAGCTGTGGCGACTTCATGGAGATCTGGCTTATCTGATTTAAAGCAAGCTTCCCATCAGCAGTTACCACAGTAATATGATCAAGGGATCCTAAAAGAAAAACAGTTTTAGAATTCTGAAGGACCTTAGTAGCCCCACATCTAAGGCCTAGCTAACTCAGATTCAACAAACATTTAAGGATCCCTTATCTATGTGACAAAGCTGTTCAAGGGTCTTTCATAGGAGCAGCAGTGTCACGTGTTTGTAAGAGCTTAAAATGCTGACAGAGCTAGGCTGGAACTCTTTACGAGCAACTAGGGTGGACAGCCATCCTGGTTCGGCTGGACCTGAGGGGTTTAAAGGATTTTCTGTGACATAGGACTTTTAAAGCTAAAACTGTAAAGAATTGATTACCCTCAGCAGCAACTTTGCCACTTACTATGAAACCCTGGGCAAGTTACTTGTCTTCCCTGTGCCTTGGTTTCCAACTCAGTCAAAAGATAACTACCTTAGAGGTAAAGTAAGGACTGCAGCTAAAGGACTATAACTAAATATAAGCAACCAAGTATACACTAGACACCAAAAAATATTCAAAATGGTACCTCTTATTATCCCTTTTAGTTATTGCAACTACCCTAAAACATTGTATCACTACCTCCACTTTACGGATGAGAGATTAAGACTTGGGAAGGATAAATGGGCCAAGATCATAGAGCTAACAAAAGGAAAGAAATCAAGAGCCCAGACCCAAACGCACGTGTGCTTAATTCTGATTTCAATCAAGGCTCTTTCCCTTATACAATGGAACTGAAATCTGGCTGTACATCAGACTCCTTAGGGAGTTTTTAAAATTAGATTCCTGGGCCCCACCCCAGAGATCCTGATTCTATAGAGGCTTGGGATCCTGTGATTTGAGGGGAGCCTGTAATTTTTTTTTTCCCTAGTTTCACATGATTCTGACACACAGCCAGATTTGGAGCCATTCCCTTATACCAACTTTGATTTTGGTGCATAGATCCCCTTCAGAAACATGCCCATTTAAAACAAAACATAACTATTAACGTTTCATTGTTATCTTGGATCTGATCTTTATCCATATCTGAATTCTGGAACATCCTGGGAAAAATTTTCAGAAACCAAAGGAGGCAAGCAACAAAGCTACAGTTACAAATGGAAAGGGGGCATTATCCAAACTCCCTGATTTCCTATGCAAATGAGAACTAGAAGAAAAACCTTACCATTCACAGTAGGAACCACTCAAGGATGGCTCATTCTGAGACACAAAAAGAAAGGGGGGGAAAAGGAGTCTTAAACAAATTGGAATTATCCTGGCAATATGCTGTTAGAACAATGCAGTACCATACTATGGCCCAAAGATCTGATGTGAAGTACTCAAATTCAATGTCATCTCAAGATAGAAGGTCACTGATACTACTGGCCTCAACCTGGCAAAGTCCAGGAGGTATAATGGTAAAAGTTATTCTGAGAACCAGTGACCTGAGTTCAAACATCAACTCTGCCACTTCCAGATTGTGTGAACCTGGGCAGAACCCTTCAACTTTCGGGCCTCTGTTTCCTGATCTCTAAATGGGGCATAAAATGATACTTATCTCATAGAGTTTTTTATGATATTAAATGAAAGAGTGCATGAAAAGCACTTATAACAGTATCCCAGTACATGCTATTATTACTTCTTGACATTTGCCTGTATTTTAACCAAACTAAAACAATTTCTCCAATACGCTCTGTTCTCTCTTAACTCAGGACCCTTGCATTATTCTCCTACTGAGAACACTTTTCTCTGCTCAGCTAACTCCTGCTCATTCTTCAACAGTCAGCTATAGTAGCATCTAATCTCAGAAATCTTGTCTGATCTCCTAGGCTGGATTACAAGACCCCCCGTGAGCCCCCAAGCATCCTGTGCACACTTCTATAATAATGATGATAGCCCGTATTTACTGAACACTTCCTATGAGCAAGACATCATGTTAAATGCGTTTATAATTCATTTGTTTTCATTATCACAATAACCCCATGAGATAGTTATTATTACTTCCACCATTCTACATATGAGGAAACTAAGTCAGAGAGAGTAACTTCCAAATGAACCTATTTAAGTAATCAACACAAAAAAGTGCTCAATAATGCTTCAATGAATGTATGCATGGACAGATGAAAGGCAAAGAGGATAAGAATGAACAAATAAACCTGTATCTAGACAACTGTTAAAAGATGTCAACCATCTTGAAGATAGAAACTGCTGTTAGAGAGATGGAAGTGTAAGGGGAAAAGCGCCTGCTGATTCAGACAGTAATGAAAGATGATATAGAAGAATCTGGCAAAAAATACTAAGTTTAGCCTTTTTCACCCAGTCTCTTCACAGCTCCAAGTTCTACATAGAACTTTAAACAAACATAATCCTGAAGGGAAAGAAGCAAAGAGGAAATGCCAACAGGAGGCCTTTTGAAAATGGATCTTAATTCAGCCTTCCTGATTTGCCATAAAATCCTTTGCCACAGAAGTCCCAACACAGGCTTTTCAGTATTAAATTGTGGTGGTTCCTATTCCCTAAATCTATATCGACATAATGCATCAAATCCTTTTCCCTCAATCTGTCCCCAGCGAGAATCTCCCTCAGCCTCATTCCTGCCCCTCATTTTCTCAGAGGTTAACATTTAACAAATTACACTCCCAACCTCTTTCCAGGCCCATCATCTTTTTAAGTTCAACAAGAGTGGAGCTTGCTGGCTAATTTTAAGTATCACATTTCTCCCTGAGCTCCTCTCAAACTGCTCTCTGGTTTCGACTGCAGAATGTTAACAGGCCAGAAAGCACAGGGGAGACAGAGCACTTTATCAGTTTCATACCTAAAATAATAAGCAAGTTTAAAATAAACAGCTAAGAGAGATTGAATGGCACGCTCTACTGTCAGCAAAGGCAGAAATGCCCCAGTCCAAAAGTTGACAAATGATGGGAATGGTCCTCTAGTTTCACACTGGATCTCATCTCTGAACTATGTTTCTGATAGTGTTTATAAATGGAGCTGTATATTTTTCACTTGGTTTTCTTAAGAGTGAGTTCATGAAATATTTCTAGTTTCCCTATGAACTACTTCAATCAAGATGTAAGTGGGAGCAGCCCAAGCTCCCACAGATACCTTCAGAGGGGGTCCAGGCTCAACTCTAGGATGATGACAATTTGCAAAAAGGCCAATTTAACAGCAATTGGATTTTTCCTGCCGGCTTGCACCATCAGCTGACAACTCACTTCTCCATCACATCTGCAAATAGTTCTTCTAGACAGTTCTGACATTTCCCACTTAGAAAAGCCACTTTCAGGAAATTATTAACCCAAATGGAATCTTCCTGGTCAAGCTCAGGGGTATAGTAATGGCTCAGGTGGACAGGTTTGCAGCCAGTTGTTTCCCAATAAGGGATAAGAACTGCCAAATAGTACAAATTGGAAAAAGCAGACCAAAGATGTCAGTTCCTGTGCGACCAAATACTTAAGATGTTTTTATAGTAAAATATAAATATATAAAATACAGTGACAATAAAACTCCCATTTTTTTGAGAGTATATCTCCATGAGAGCAAAATATATGCCTATTTTTGTTCACTACCATTAATATGTACTAGCACACTGCCTAGTTCATAGCAGACAAATACTTGCTGGATAAATAAATGTAGCGTTAGCTATGTGCCATACACTGTGCTACAACCATTACACATGTTACCTTATTTATTTTAATACCCACCCCAAAGGTATAAGGTAAGAATCAAACAAGGAAACTGAGGACTAGAAAAGTAAAGTAACTGCCTGTGGTCACCAGTTACTAAGTGACAAAGCCAGGACTAAAATTCAATTCTGCCAAAACCATGCTTTTTCCACTACGCCCCTCCCCGAAACATGAGTTCAGTCACTAACCTGGTGAGGTCCTTATGTTGAGAGTCTTATTGAAATTATCCTTGAGTACTTCCGTTACAGACTTCATTTCTTCATCCACTTCATCCAAGTTGATTATATCCTCAACCAAGGCAGCGTTAATATTCACTCTGGCTTGTGACTGTCCTTTCCCCTTGGCTAGAAAGTCAACATTCAGTAAATAGGAGAATAGCCATAAGCAATTGGTTAAAAAGTTCCTACCGTACACAGGGAAAAATGTCAAGTGCTGTAAATCATTATCACTGCCCTAAAAAGGAGCCTGTATTTACTGGGTGTCAACTAGGTACTCAGTACTGTGCTGAACACTCTCTGATACTAGAGAGGGCACAGGCTTTATAGTCAGACACCCCAGTTTAAAAGCACTGGCTACAATGCATACTAGTTTGTGACCTTAGACAAGTTACTCTATCTTTCTGAGCATCAGGTTTCCTACCTGTAAAAGAAGAAGAATATCTGTATTGCAAGGTTGCTGCAAGGTTGCTACAAGGATACAAATTAAGTCATTCAAACACCTAAAAGAGCACTATCCATATGGAAGGGAACTCATAAGTAAATTAATTCCTTATTTTTCAGAAAAATAAACAGAAGATGAGAAAGGTAAAGTGACTTGCCTAATGTCACAGGTAAGGAAACAGTGAAGTCAAGATTTGGTCCCAGATCTGCCTAATTTTAAACCTATGAACTTTATATTAGACCATCTCCACAAAAATCTAACTGGAGAGAAAATACATTAATACATTTAAAAATGAATACTAGGGGCCAGGCATGGTGGCTCACACCTGTAATCCTAGCACTCTGGGAGGCCGAGGCGGGCAGATCGTTCTGAGCTCAGGAGTTCCAGACCAGCCTGAGCAAGAGCGAGACCCCGTCTCTACCAAAAAAATGGAAAGAAATTAATTGGACAGCTAAAAAAATATATGTAGAAAAAATTAGCCGGGCATGGTGGCACATGCCTGTGGTCCCAGCTACTCGGGAGGCTGAGACAATAGGATTGCTTGAGCCCAGGAGTTTGAGGTTGCTGTGAGCTAGGCTGATGCCACAGCACTCGCCCCAGGCAAGAGAGTGAGACTCTGTCTCAAAAAAAAAGAAACACAAAGAAAGTTTTTCCTCATCCTTAAGTTCCCTTTATTATGTCTTCTCTCTCGTTTCATTCCAAGCTGAAGGAAACACTTCCACCTGATCTGACCCAGCCTCCACCATTCCAAAAGAGACCATAGAAAGGAATTTTAGCAAGGCCATCTTACCTCTGGGAAGCTGGCCATATTCACCAAAATCAGCTGTGGCGACTTCATGGAGATCTGGCTTATCTGATTTAAAGCAAGCTTCCCATCAGCAGTTACCACAGTAATATGATCAAGGGATCCTAAAAGAAAAACAGTTTTAGAATTCTGAAGGACCTTAGTAGCCCCACATCTAAGGCCTAGCTAACTCAGATTCAACAAACATTTAGGGATCCCTTATCTATGTGACAAAGCTGTTCAAGGGTCTTTCATAGGAGCAGCAGTGTCACGTGTTTGTAAGAGCTTAAAATGCTGACAGAGCTAGGCTGGAACTCTTTACGAGCAACTAGGGTGGACAGCCATCCTGGTTCGGCTGGACCTGAGGGGTTTAAAGGATTTTCTGTGACATAGGACTTTTAAAGCTAAAACTGTAAAGAATTGATTACCCTCAGCAGCAACTTTGCCACTTACTATGAAACCCTGGGCAAGTTACTTGTCTTCCCTATGCCTTGGTTTCCAACTCAGTCAAAAGATAACTACCTTAGAGGTAAAGTAAGGACTGCAGCTAAAGGACTATAACTAAATATAAGCAACCAAGTATACACTAGACACCAAAAAATATTCAAAATGGTACCTCTTATTATCCCTTTTAGTTATTGCAACTACCCTAAAACATTGTATCACTACCTCCACTTTACGGATGAGAGATTAAGACTTGGGAAGGATAAATGGGCCAAGATCATAGAGCTAACAAAAGGAAAGAAATCAAGAGCCCAGACCCAAACGCA